TCACAACCAAATGCCTTCTCCAACCCTAACCTAAACCTAATCATAATCTTAACCATAAAAGCAAGTCTTAACCCTAAAACAACCCCGTGAAGTTGTCTCTTTGCAAGCATATCTTCGCTCTCAAGGCCTAAAAAGACTGGTCCGCACAAATGTAGTCGTACACACTCACAAACACACACACAGCCTAAAATTGCTGTCTCCTCTGAGAGGTGAGAAAATCCAGATGCATTAGATGAAAAGAAACCATGTAGCTCAGCACTGTATATATATATGTGTGTATGTGTGTGTGTGTGTGTGTGAGAGAGAGAGGGAGAGAGAAAGATGCCATTAATCTTTCACACAGAGGATCGGGGAGGCAATCTGCCGGCTATCATAGATGATACATGACCCGCTATAGAATGATTCACATGTCAACATACTTGACACAGCTACATGCACAGGCCACACACATTGATAGGCAAACTCCCTCACACATATTACATTAAAAAATATCTATAATCACTAAACATGCCCCTGTATACCAACATGCAATCGTACAGCAGCGAAATATATATGCATCCATCCATACACACATACGTGCATTCTCTTTCACACATGGTCTCATCTGAATCAAGTACGCTGTGTTCGACTTCGCTCCTAGGCCCTACACACACAGATTAAGCACTACACTTTTTGAGCTAGACATGTTGTTAATGCATGTTGTCCTCAGTCATTTTCTGCAGGATGGTTGTTGTTCCTGTTCCCTGAGATACAGCTGCAGTCACTCACAGACAATATGAGCTCCCATAATGATGTGATCTCCCAACTCGACTAGTTTCATTTACACTGCAATTTATTTTATTAACATCATTTCTGTTATTTGAAACATTTACATGATGTTAAATTGACAGAACAGAAGGAGTGAAGTTCGCTTTTTTTTTACTCCAGATTCATTTTGCAAGCGTGTCAAGGATGATTTGTTGCAGGTTAAATGCAGGGGTCTAGTGCAGTCTTGTCACTACCCTAAATAAATTAGTTATTAAAATAGATTGTATGCATTCAGCTGCAGCAGGTAAATCTTATCTTACCACAAAATCATCAGCTTGGTGGTGATGAATTTGGTTTAGCATGACAAAGCTAATGCAAGAAAAAACAATTTCAGTCAGCTGATGAACAGCTTACAGTTTTTATATGCGCATAATATATTCTGATGATCCTAGTTTTTTCCAGTAATCTGATTTCTGTCGCAAAATTCTAAATTAGGGGCACTAATCAAGGTAACTTCCACAGATAAACAGTTTGCTGATTTTCTCATACCGCCAGTCCAAAAGTGTGGCAGAAAACTGTATATATACTAATTTGACACTGCAGTTTTTATTTTTACTTCCTCCTGATACCACATAATAACACATGCATTTTAGGCATTAGGAATTCTGGCCAGACTTTTATTTATCATGCCTGTTTAGCATTTATAGGCAGGATAAACTCTTAACATATTTGTGCATAGATTTAAGAACATTTAAAAATGTTTATCAATGTGCAGTATTTTAATATTAATTGGTGTGTTAATTATATTTTATGCACCATCCCGCAGGAGAAATTACAGTTGTTGGCAAAAACATTTATATCAAACAGTAATTATAACTACATGGTAGGTTATACCATTTAGAATGGGAGGGGATTAAAGTGTTACCAGAATACTCTTGTTTAAAGTTGAATTAACTAACTTTTCTCTCTAATTTTCAACCAATCAAGGTGAAATTAGAATAAAAACAAACTCAAGCAGTATCTCCTCCTCTTCTCCCTCTGCTCCTCCTCGCCCCTCCTGCCCTGTCTCAGAAACTCCATCATATGTGGTCACGACAGCCGGAGACAATTGTGGTAGTCGGGCAGTACAGCAGTAATAACCGGCTCCAGAAATAATGTATATGGAATATAGAACCATAGAGCCTGTGGTTTTCAGTGGCATTGCAGCAACAGTGTCAAAGAGGTTTACATTTTAGTGGTATACATACGTATGTCTAATGTTGTTTGTAGCTGATATATTTGCAGTAACGCAAGCAAATTATACAGAGGAATTTTTTCCCAGTAATATTGATACAGTACTAATGTTCCCACCACTATCGCATCACATTCAGTGTTACATACTTGACACATATAACGTTATAAGGTAACTGAGTTGCACGTGAAACAAGAGAAATTACATGTTACACTTTTCTAGTTGTGTTGATGGTGTAAATTTTAACAACATCTCACTAAAATGCTACATGGACTGCAGTGTTGTGTCTGACATAAACTGGACCAAAAATGAGCAAAAAGTAGCTAAATTACTTCATTTGCTAATCCAGGAAAATGAGCTGGTTTCCACTAACTGGACAACAAAACAGAAATTTTGCAGTCAGTTTGAATGACTCCAGATTAATTCAATACATAAGTACAAAATTGAAAAGCTAACATTAGTGTGTCAATGATGCTGACATATAGACGTTAGCCACCTATAGTACTTGCGCGTCTAGCAGGAAGAAAACCACATCTGCACCAAATTTTAGCCCTTTGGATACTTTTAATGCTTTTAATGTCAATTAGTATTTGTAGTCTGTATTTCTTGTCTGGAGGTCTCTATGTTCATTGCTTTTGAAATTGAAGCTTTTCAGTACACATCGTTCTCTGACAACTATTTTTCAGTACATGCCAGATTCATTAATTCAGGCAAACACATCAATGCTTCAAGGACAAATGAAATAAATTCATATTTGTGCACGTGTGTATCTGTGTGAGGATTAAGAGGTGTGCTGGGTTTTGAATAGCAGCTAAATGTAAAGTTGCTCCAAAGGTGAAAATGTATGTCTAGTCAGGCATCACTGCACCTTTGAGCTCCATCACTTCTTTATCCTCCCTAATGCTCCCTAAAAATTTCACACCAGAGTGGTATCACCAGGTGCCCGTCCAAGAAATGTATGACCTTATTTTCTGATTGCAAGAAAATAGTAATATCACCCAAATTTTGTTGGAGCACCTGTAATCAATATTTTGATAATAACAATGGATCAAATGATGTGTGTGTTATGTGAAATGGGTTGTTCATAGAGAGGAACCCACACATTTATCATCTGCTGTTTGCCTCAGCTCTAGTGTCTGAGCATAACTGAGCTCATTGTTTTTGTTTTCCAGTGTGCTCTCACTGCAGCGAATCCAGCAGCCGGCAGCTGTTTTCAGTGAAAAGCTCAAAAAACTGACAGTGCTTTACCTGCAAAGTCTGGGTCTTTTGGCCAGAGGTGGAAAATAACTAAGTACATTTACTTTTTCTGTTACTTCATACTTTGACTTCACTATATTTCCGAGAAAAATATTGAACTTTGTACTCATTGCATTTATTTGAGAACTTTAGTTACTTTTCATAATCAAAATATAGTATAATCATATACTGTACATAATCCTCGGTGGGAAATTCACAAGCAGTATGTAAAGTACTTCAAATGTAAGCTAATTAAACATATAAGGTAGTTAAAACTAGCTCCCCCTTTACCAGCTGCAGCATTAAATGTGATGGACATAGTAATGAATCAATAATTGTAATATGATTAATGTGAACTGTGCCGTTCTGCATAATGAGTAATTTTAATTTAGCTCCTTTTAGCATATTTTGATACTTTTGTACTTTTACTTGAGTAACATTTTGAATGCAGGAATGTAACAGGGTATTTTTACACTATGGTATTGGTACTTTTACTTACCGTAAGTAAACAATCTGAGTACTTCTTTCTTTGTCCCACTCACTCTGTGCAAAAGAACATGGCAGATACCATCTTGGACTTCTAGCTAACCAGAGGTCCTCCGTAGTTTTTTGAAATGACTATTAGCGGTTTGAAAAACATTTCCACCGTCCATCTCTAGGTGGCAGGTGGGACTAATTTATGGACCACATTTTGACAACACAGGGTATAGCATCTGTAATAACAACTGAAGGGTGTCATGGAGGAGGGTAAGATAGCAGCGAGACATCACATCCTGTCCTGTTTTCACTTGATTTGTCGGGCAAGGTGTAAAATCTTAGTACATGTACATTTAAAGTAAGTACAGTAGTCAGTTTACCCATTTGAAATTACTCCCACAATGGATTTAACAACATTTCTGAGTGGATGTTCAGATTAACCGAGGAACACAAACAACATTCATATTTGCTGTAAGTGTGTCCTTGAAATACAAACTGGTGTGTTTTTTGTTTTATTTTTTATACAGATTATGTAAGATCTAAAATGGACATTCTATAAAACATGTTCCTTTTCATTTTCTGCGAATTTGATGGCTTTTTTTTTTACATTTTTATACTTCAAAGACCACTGAGACTGTAAAGCATACGTCTCGCCTCATACCCTCTTCACTTCCTTTCTCGCACTCTCTAAAGCATGGATCAAGGTCTTTTATTGACTGCAACGCTTAAAAGAAAACAACATTTTTCAGCCTTCTCCTACAGTACCTCGCTCTCCTGTTCTCCAGTGTGCTCAGTCTTGTTTGCTCTCTTCCCCTTTATTCAGTAAAAAGACATTTCGATAAACAAAATGAATCGCCACTTACTTTGACACTTCTGCTCACAATTATTAGATAAGGAGAGTAAACATGGAGAAAGAGATGATAGAGAACGAAGATGGGAGAGATGAGGAGTGCCCAGATTACAATCTGTAGCCTTTGTTATTGTTGGTGCTGAATTAGTTTAAGGTTGAAAGACAATTACTTTGGCAGTACTGTCATGTACACAGTGCTGCTAAAATGCTTTGTAAAAATATAATGTGCTGTGTTTTCTATCTCTGACTGGGGAAATAACCTTAATTACATTTCCTTCTCTGTTTTTTCCTCTGTCTTCTATGCTGTTTTTATCCCTTTAACCTTTGCCCTCATATTTTCATCATCATCTTCTTCTTCTTTCATCTCCTTGATCTCTCCTGCTCTTTAACCTTCTGTATCTTTCCACCCATCGTTCTTTTGTTTCCTCCCCGCCTCACCTCTGTCTGTCTTCTCTCCAGGTCTTTGTCTGGACGTATTGTAGGAGGTGTGTGGTGGTTCTTCACCCTTATCATCATCTCCTCTTACACAGCCAACCTGGCTGCCTTCCTCACTGTGGAGAGGATGGTCTCCCCCATAGAGAGTGCAGAGGATTTAGCCAAACAGACAGAGATAGCCTATGGGACACTGGACGCGGGCTCTACTAAGGAGTTCTTCAAGGTATGGACTCGTCTCACTCTGCTTGTTTGCCATGTGAAGTCAGGTTCATTTGCTACTGAGTTCAGGTTGCAGGAGAAAGACAGAGAGTATTAGAAGGATGATTTTTACCTTACTGCGCTTGCAACTTTTATTAAAACTAAACCAGTACTGCACAACTAGCTCATACATTCACACCTTTATCTGAAATTCTAGTCAAAATCTTAACATTTTAAGAATCCCATACATGACGTGAAAATGTATCCATTTATCCTGTCCAAAGTAATTAAAATGATTTTGATGGCATCTAGATTGTTTGCCACAATAGGCAGACAAAATTTAAGGGTAGCCTGTTACGTTTCTGACCACTAGTAGTGCAGTGGAGCAATTTATGCTCCACTGAATGTCTCTCCATTTTTGGAAGGATACATCCAATACACCTTTATGCCAGTGGTTTCCTGCTATTTCATTAACATCATGACATATAACAATGCCCTAACAAAACACGGGAAAGAAGAAAATGTTGCATGGGTAAAGAAACCCATTTACACTAATGCAAGAAAGCATTGTGTTTTACTTTTTTGACATAAAGTTGCTATGGTAGATACCGTATGTCCTTATTGTGACCTCTATTTGCACTTAGCATGGCTTGAATTCTTTTGAGGAGCCTGTCTTGAAACCATGACAGAGCCTCCACCATGTTTCACTGAAGGCTGCTGCACTCCTCCTTCCACCTCTCTCCAACTCTTCTTCTCATATACTGCCAAAATTGGACCCGAAAATGTCAAACTTAGATTCTTTTCAACTGATGCTCACTCCAATCTTTGTGAGCTTTTGCATATCTCAGCCTATTCTCTCTGTCCCTTTATGAAAAAGTGATTTCTTGGCTGCTGTCCTTGCTGAGCCAGCTCCTTGCTGCATTTCATCCGGTCTCTCAAAAAAGAAACTGAGAAGCTTCTCATCAGATTCTGACAGTTTTCTTGGTCTTTCATTTTCATTTTTGTCCTTGACCTCTCCGGATTCTTCATGTTGCTTTAGAACAGCTTGAATACCACATTCTGAGTATCCAGTTTGTTTGTTGAGTTCTTTCTAACATTTTTGTGTTTTTGTTAATACTGTATACATATTTCCTATATTTTCTGGTTGTATTCTGATGAATAAATGCATATAGTGCTGGAAGCGAAGGAGGATATGGAGGCAGAAGAAATGTATCACAGAGCGGTGCAAGTAAAGGACATCGTGGATCATGAGAAACAGATGTTCATTGCGATGCTGAACCAACAGCAAGAATGCTTCAAAGGCTTTGTGCAACTAATCATGGAGACAAACAACAAGAGATTCGACGACTTGACCAGAGAAATACAGGAGATAAAAACGAGTTCGCACTTTACCCAGCGAGAGGTGGATGTGATTAAGGCTGCAATGGGTGAACAGAAAACACAAACCGAGGAAGCTAAGGATGATGTCTACAAAACATATGAGAGTTTAATAACTATAACGGACAAAATGGAGCATCTGGAAGCACAGTCCAAGCGAAAAAACGTGATCTTTGAGGGAATCAAGGAGACAGCTGGAGAAAGCTGGTCGGAAGCAGAATGTAAAGTGAAGGAGATTCTGAAGAATAATCTGCAAATTCTTCAAGAAATTGAGATGGAGCGGGCTCACAGAGTCGGGAAACCTTCTGATCGTGGTCCGAGGGCGGTGATGGTGAAGTTGATGAAAGAGAAAGATAAGGCACACATATTGCAACAAGCAAAGAAGCTTAAAGGATCTAACATTTATATAAATGAAGATTACACCGAGTCTGTGAGGAAGAGAAGAAGGGAGTTGATGCCGAAGTTAAGGGAGGCCAGGGAGAGGGGAGACATCGCTTTCCTGCGGTATGATCGACTAGTGACGAGACCTCGGAACCAGGATCCAGGACCCAGGACCAGCACGCCCAGGGTGCCAAGACAAGGAAATGAAGGGGTCGCTGGACCCTCAGATGTATGAAGAAGAAACACGCAGGTATATTGATATCTGTGACGGCAGATGAGCATTGGAACCAACAACAACAAGCATGACCCATGTACGGAATGAGGCAAGTGATTTGTTACAGAAGTTAATAGATTTTGAGGGACTGGAGCTGGAACTGAACACAATTGGACACTGAACAACATTATCATCAATCGGACGATGACTTTGACCCTGAAAAAAACTTTTTTAAGAACTCTGAAAATAACTGCAAGTATTACA